TCTCTCTCTCTTCCTAATCATATTCAACAGCCGAAACTTGTTTGCGATCAAATTCACATACTTATTTTGCTTATTCCAAATATTGACCATTTTTGTAGATATTTACAGCCTCTCTAAGCTCCTGTTTAGTGGTATAATGCCCATATTCTGTCAAACCTTTGGCATTTTGGGTGAATCATATATTCTGTAGGCTATGCTGGAGATATAAACCATTTTAGCGCAAAAGATTCTTGAGCTCACTTCCCTCCAGAGTAAAAGACTGTGCGATGAAGGGACTCGAAAGCCAATCCTTCAAAAGAGAACGGCAGATATTTCTAAGAAATCAGACTTTTGGCCTTGTCCTTGAGGCAGCCTTCTTCGATTTTGGTGAAAACATGCAAAACTTTTTGCTGTCCTGGGAAAGACATCATCATTTCAAGAAAACTCACTAATTTATCCATACATGTATCTATGTACTCTAAACCTATGGATTCCGAAAAGATTATTGCCATACATCAGCCTAGCTGAATGAGCGTATTTGTGCTCTTGTATACGCATATGATTTTATGCGTACGCAAAGGTATGAAATAAATCGTGCCTTTTCGATGTAGGATTAAAGCTTAGTCTAATTTCACTGTAGTCGAAGCAGATTGTTTTAAGGAAAGAGTGAACTAGAAGGTTTAATTTAGTTCAAACAAGCGGTTGCCAAGAGAAATCCGCAGACATCTTCTGGTGGTATCGACCTTCGTGACTATTAATCACACCTTTTCATTCGAGCTGAAAGTTACCACATCACTTGAAAATCAAGAGCCTCTTTGATTGGCAGCCTTTCTTCATAGTCTATATGAAGAAATACATTTAAAAAAATCAGTTTAAGGAAACCGCATATCCCACATAACAAAATGAGACTGAGGAGGTACTCGACAAAGCATTGTATAATCCTGTGCAAGGGTTTCCATGCTTCAAATGTAAACTTTTTATGCCACCCGATAGCTTCAACGCATGCAAGTCTGCGGGGATCTGCTGTGCACCAAAGAGGAGGCGGCCAGTCTGGCTGCGCTTCACATTCACCTCGACACCCGATGGCCCACCGGTCGTCTGCCACCCCATCTGCTGCTCTCCTCCAGTTTATCCGGCTCCATGTGGATCTCGGGAGCTCCGACCGCGACGGCTCTCGGTCCGCTTTCTGCGCTTGGATCCGGCGGACTCTTCAGTGCAGTCGGGCCCGCCGTCCGCAGTGGTCTGGGCAGCAGCCTCTGTAGCACTGTCAACTTCGGCCCCGTCAACAACAATTGCAGCACAAACTTGCGAAAGAGGGCCTCAAGTTTCAGTCTTACACCGGCGTCGATCCGTGCGAGGTTGAATGGCCGACTGTCGGTAATACTATAAATATATACATTTATTTATTTATTTATTTTACAACCTCAAGTAAACAAACATATTTAATTGTATTTCGTATATTAGTAGGTTTTCAAGACTTTCAGAACAGCATATACAGTTTGTAACAGAAAAACGCACCACCCTCTTTTTTGGTCAAAATGAGAACAAGTAAAACAAGTCGATATTATATATATATATAAAAGGATCCTCATGACCTTGATTATCATGTTTGTAGAGTATTCCAATTCCTTTCATAAAATTAATACTACGGAACCTGTCCTGAGACCGTTAGTAAATCTAGACGAAAGAAGGATGCATCTTGGAGGTTGTATAATGGTCATAAGGTATGGTGAGCTAGTTGTGCTGGTATATATGCATTTATGTATATATATATATTTATATGTATGTATATACAGTTTGTTAAAATAAACGCACCACCCTTTTTTCGGTCAAACTAACAAAAATATAAACAAGTCGATATTATATATAAGATAGCTGTATTTTTTTAAATTATTTTACATTTCTGTTTTTTTAATAAGTTTAATTTGGACTATTTTATCGTTGCTTAAACTTTTTTGTTAAAAAAACGTACTACCTTTAGGTTTATTAAGAGCAATAGCTTGTTCTTGGAAGCTTTCAGCCAATCTTATCATCATATCCATGGTTATTTCTGCCCAAGTTGGTTGATTTTTTTTAGGCTTTAATTCGCCATTTTAGACTTTATAATCCTCCATAAGTTCTCAATCGGGTTCATGTCTGGCGATTGAGCAGGCCAAGTTGCGGATGATTTCACATTTCTTTCTCTCCAAAACTCTGATGCCAGCTTTGATGTGTGTGTTGGGTCGTTGTCTTGCTGGAAAATGATCTGATTCAAACCCATTGATGCAGCAGCTTCAAAGAGGTTATTCAAAAGGAAGACAACTGATTAAAGTTTTCTAAGTGATTTTTTAGGGTTATCTTTAATTTCCTGCTTTATCACGTTTAAAACCTGTGGAGAAGAAACTTTCGGTCTGCCATTTCCATAGATATGATTAAAACTATGGTATTTATCATACTTTTGCTTGGTACGAACTACTGAAGAGTGGCAAATGGCAAACATTTTGGCCACCTCCCTTGTCGAATGAGCAAGCTTTAGAATTTGAAGTACTTGAGCTCGACTCACAATATCAAGTTGCTTAACCATGTTTGTCTTGATAAGCTCTAATTAATATTTAGAAAAGGCAAGAAACCAATTTTAGCCAAGTGGTGCGTTTCTTTTAACAGAAATGTTTACAAAATCACTATTTTCAAAATGATAAATAATAAGTAAGTAGTAGCTCAAGTAATTCAAACTCTCAAGCCTGCTCATTCGACGAGGGAGGTGGCCAAATGTTTGGCAGTTGCCACTCTACAGTAGTTCGTAACAAGCAAAAGTATGATAAATACCATACTTTTATTCATATCGGTAAAAATGGCAGACCGAACGTTTCTTCTCCACAGGTTTTAAACGTGATGAAGCAGGAAATTGAAAAAAATCCTAAAAAATCACCAAGAAAACTTTAATCAGTTGTTTTCCTTTTCAATAACCTCTTTGAATATACTGCATAAATGGGTTTGAATCAGTTCATTTCCCAGCAAGACAACGACCCAAAACACACATCAAAGCTGGAATCAGAGTTTTGA